GGTGAAATTAGCAAAGAATTACATCCCTACCATGCAAAGGAATCTTGTAGCACCTTTGCAAAAGAAGCTGTAGCATGAGCTTTCATAGACTTGGTCTACTTCCTCAGATGCTGTATACTACTATTTCAGAAATAATACAATTTGGCACCACTTTAACGGCCAAGGCTCCACCTATGGAATCCTGGGATTTGTAGTTTTGTGGGGCACCAGCACTTTCTGGCCCAGGTAGCTAAAGGTCATGCAAAACTACAAATTCCATAGAATGGAGCTACAGCCCCATAGCTGTATGGATTCCATAGGATGGAGCTACAGCATTTAAAGTGGTGTCGAACTGCATTATTTTTACAGTGTAGATGCACCCCTAGCCCACAAAATTTTATACTGCAATGTCTTTCGCTCAGTTAGTCTCAAAGGTGCTGCAAGATCCCTTTGTATATTGATATTCCAGACTAACAGGGCTATGCCCGTGAATTCTCTCTCCACAGACTTACCTTTTCACACACACACACACACACACACACACTAGTATTTCATTATAGATGTTTTATAAAGTTAATAAAAGTAGACAAACCAGAAGAAGAAACCTAAGATGTAGCACAATCAACAAGGAAGGAAATATGAGAACTACAGCTTCCAAAGATACCTGTAACTGCCTGCATTTGCACTGCAGAATTAATGCAGTTTGATACCACTTTAACTGCCATGGCCCAATGCTATGGAAGTCTGGGAAGAGGGCCGTTGTAACGTTTGCCCTCAAGGATAATTTCTGCCACGTGCTCCGAACCTTCAAAGTGTGCGCTAGAGTTACAGGAGCAGACCTGGCATTTGGTGGCCCCAAGAGGGCTGTGAGGCTTGACTTGGAAAGCATGCGCCCAAATTCTTGACAAGGTCATTGAGGATAGTGGAGCAGGACCACTTCTGGACCGTGTGAAAACTACTTGACAACCAGAAAAACAGAGCTTGGAAAAAGGTGTGCATGCCTTGGGTGACATGCCATTGTGATTGGTGGCTTCCTTTTTCATAGGATGGCGCATCTGCTCCGGATTGAAGTCTGAACTTAACGGAGCTTTCCGAACACATTTTGGAGACCAGGTTCAGTAATGTGAAGACAGCCGAAACCTGGGAGTGGATTCGCCCTATCACTGGCAATGGGCTTGGGGGGCTGACTGCACTGCACAACCCATAATCCCCATCCAGCATACTGTAGGATTCGAAGAGTTACAGTCCCAGAGGACTGACTTTCAACAAGTCTCTGCCCTAAACTCAGGGCACTGGAATTAAGACAAACCATCTTCAGTGTGGTTTCATGGTTTCATGTTGGACTAGGATACTCAGAGACCAGCGTTCGAATCTCTGCTCGGCCATAGAAACCTACTGGGCGACCTTGGGCAGGACACTCTCTCTCAGCTTTGGAGAAAAGCAAAGCCAAACATCCTCTGAACAAATTCTGCCTGTGATAGGTTTCCCTTGTTGTCGTTGTTGTGTGCCACGGTACCTGCAAAGCTCAAGCTTGTTGTTGTTGTTGTATGCCTTTGTTTCCAACTTATGGCAACTATAAGGGTTGTCTTGGCCAGGTTTGTTCAGAGGAGGTTTGTCATTGCCTTCCTTGAGGCTGAGAGAGTACGACTTGCCCAAGGTCACCCAATGGGTTTCCACGGCTAAGCTGGGAATCGAACCCTGGTCTGCAGAGTCATAGCCCAACACTCCAACCAGTATGCTGGCTCTAGGGAACCCTAAAATCAGGGTTTGCCTTCCCCTTCAACATGGGAACCCTGAAATCAGTGCAGGGAGATGTTCTTGTTGTGGTGGGCCTCCATGTCATTTCCAGCTTAGAGTTTCCAACTTAAGGTTTCCTTAGGGTCACCATCAATTGGAAACGACATGGAGGCCCACCATAACAAGAACATCTCCCTGCACTGATTTCAGGGTTCCCATGTTGAAGGGGAAGGCAAACCCTGTCCTTGCATCTCCCAGCAACTCTGTCCTTCCCTTCTGCAAGCAGAGGAGCCTCCATCCTTGGCCACCCTTGGATGCACCAAGGCCTGGGCTCCTGAGCTTCCTTGGGTCAGGCGCAGATGCGGGATTAGCCATAATTGGCGGCCGTCCGTCCGTCCGTTGGGAGGGCCTCCCTCCATCTCTCGGCTGATTACCTGCCGCCAAATTGCACCTGCCATTCAGCCACTAATCCCCGGATTAGAGAGACCCCAACAGATGGCTCCCAGCCAGAGATGTCCCATCGACTTCCCCACCGGTGCTTGGTGGCAGGGACACAGGGAGGAACGTCCGATCTCTTTCTGCCACAGCAAACGTCGCTGCCATGGTTCGATCCCATCGGATTCTGGGATCTGCAGTTTAGAGTCCTCTGCCAGAGAGCTCTAGTGCCTCCCTAGAATACACACCTCAGTGTATATACTGCAGCCACGGCTATTGCAGGAGAGTCCAAGAGAGCTGGTGCAAACTACAAATCCCAGGATTCTGTAGGATGGAACCACAGCCATTAAAGTGGGGTCAATCTGCATTATTCCTACAGTGTAGATGCGCCCATTGCTTCATTTATTGTTTGTTTTGAATAAAAAGTGTTAGATGAGGTCACTGGAAGACTGGAGTTTGAATCTCTACTTAGCCATGAAAATCCACCGGATGACCTTGGGTAAGTCACAGTCTCTCAGCCTCAGAGGAAGACAATGGCAAACCCTCTCTGAAGAAGCTTGCCAAGAAAACCCTGCAGTAGGCTCACCTTAGGGTTGCTATCTTTCGGAAATGACTTGAAGGCAAACGACACACGACGTTTCTTGGTTTTTAAAAGCAAATCTTTTAACCTATGGCATGTGAGATATTTTCTCTGGGTGACAAGTGTGCTTCCTTTCGTGCCTCCAGGACGTGGCGCGGTGTCCAATTCTGTCCTTGGCACTTGGCGATCCCTCTCTTTGGGGATGTGTGTTGTGCGTCTTGTTCCTGGCCTGGGCTGTATACGGACCGGTGTGCCTTTGAGCCGAAGGCCCCTGGGACTGGGAAGCCACATTCCTGAGCCCAGAAAGAGGCCAAAGCCTCAACGAGGGAGAATGCCGTCATGTCCAAGAAGAGCGGCCCTGGATTTCCAAGGAGCAGCTGTCCTGTCTCGGTTTCCTTCCTTCAGGAGCAAAGGAGGTCCAAGGCTCAGATGGAGCAAGAAGACAGACAGGCTTTGCATTGTGAGGCCAGGTTTATTGGTAGCTTTGGAGCTTAATACTTAATACATCAATAAACAAATTCTGGGAGCTGTCATCCAAAACGAAGGAATGTGGCCAACCTCTGATTTCTACCGGACGCTTTTGACACCAAAGGCATGTGCTCCCGAAAGAGAGAAAGAGAGATTGGGAATCGGGAATGGGAGGGGAAGGAACCTAGTCCCCTTTTGCTTTTCATGCGCAGGCGCCAGCCATGCATATCCATGGCTTCTGCATCTCTCATGGTCCCTGCCCAGAATATCAAGAAGGCTCTGGGGAGGGGGCTGTGGGGGGGGGGTCTGGCTGGTGAATCTCTCTCTCCGGCCCTCCTTCTTTCTTTCCTTCCTTCCTTCCTTCCTTCCTTCCAACAGTGGCAAGTGCTGAGCATTTTGGCTCCCTCCTCCCTTCCATCCCTTCCAACCTTGCCTTCCCTCCCTCCCTGGGTCCAGACATTCCTCTCTCTGCTCTCATGCGCAAGAGGATGTGCCCAGCCTGATCAATGAGTCTTCCTCGCCCACCACCATCATCCCCAGCATGGAAAATGGAGAGCAGAGCGGCAGGGAGACGGGATTCCTGCAAATCTAGACCTGGGAACTCACAGGGACAGTCCTCTCTCTTGGCTTGGATGAAGAGACCCAGGGCTAGTCTACACTTAAGCGTAGCATGCACACTGGAAACACTCAGAGGGAGCTGTGTCGGCCGTTTAGCAAATTCAAACAAAAATCCACCAAACAGTGATACCTTCGTTGGCCAACCAAACTGCGCAATATACTTGTTGCAAGCTTTTCGACCTTAGGGTCACCGACTTGAAGGTACACAACAACAACAGGATCAAATCAACATGGTGTGTAGTGGTTTGACTATGGCCCCAGAGGCCAGGGTTCTAATCCCTGCTGGGTGACCCTGGGCAAGTCACACTCTCTCAGCCTCAGAGGAAGGCCGAGGCAAACCCCCTCTGAACAAATCTTGCCAAGAAAACCCCATGATAGGATCGCCATTAGTCGGAAAGGACTTGAAGGCACACCACAACAACAACAATAACAACAATATCCTCATTTTCCGTAGCCATCATATTGTTCCTGGGAAAATCCATTCCTCTCCCAGGTATCCCTTTGCACCACAAAGGACCAGGGAAGTGTGGGATGGGATGAGGTGGCAAAAAGAGTGCCAAGATCCCTAGTAAAGCACAGATCCTGGTGCTTTGACCCTCCAAACTCTGGCTCCAAACTGGCCCATGGATGTAGTGCTTGGGACTTCCCTGCCTCCCCACCCCAGTGCTGTCTCCAGTCAAACTGGTTTGGGCAGAAACCGCCCAGTCCTTTGCCTTCAAGCTCCATTTTTTCATTCTCATCTTGTTTTGGCAATTGTCATTCCTGCCTGGTGAGGACTGCCTTGCCCTCCCTGACTCAGGCGCACACACCACCAGAGCCTTAAACAAAAAGGGGAAAATTCAACCCATGGATGCTCATGGATCCTGGAATCCTGTTGGTGACAGTCATCCCAGACACTTTGGGCAATGGCATCATTAGCGGGTTGCGGGGATACGGATCGCACCCTCTCCTCTCCTCTCCTCTCCTCTGGGGTATTCAGTGCCCCCAAGCCTCCAAAATTGGGGTCGTTTGCAAATTTAATAAGGATGTCTTCTATTCCATCATTCAAGTCATTTATACAGTGGGCCCTTGGTATTTTTTGGGGGGGTTGGTTCTGGGACACACTATGGAGAGCAAAATCTGTGGATGTTCAAGTCCCATTATATACAATGGCATAGTAAAATGGTGTCCATTAAAGATAATGGCCAGTGTGGCATAGTGGTTTGAGCATTGGACTCTGGACTCTGGACTCTGGAGATCAGGGTTCGATTCCCACTCAGCCATGAAACTCACTAGATGTCCTTGGGCAAGTCACATGCTCTCAGCCTCAGGGCAAGGCAATGGCCAACCTCCTCTGAATAAATATTGCCAGGAAAACCCATGACACACACATAGAAATGGCAAAATCAAGGTTTGCTTTCTGGAATTTATATATTTTTAAAAATATCTTCAAGCCGTGGATGCTTGAATCCGTAGATAAAAAGATCTGTAGATACGGAGGGCTGACTGTAAAGATGTTGAACAACACTCGGCCCAGGAAAGAATCCTTCCCAAACAGCCCTTCCACGGCTTTTACTCTGAGATGGGTGCTTTCTTGAGAACCAGCCCCAGATGGTGAGTTCAGGTTCATGCAGAGGGATCTTCTTCCAGGAAAAGCAGAATTTTTCCTCTCTCTCGCCTGCCTTCTGCCTCTGGGGATCCACTGGTGGCCATGGTGACTTCTGAAAGAGCCTCTTGCCTTTGGCCGGTGCCAAAACACTCCTCTCCGGAGTCACTCTCGGTCAACTCTCTGGGGTTAAGCGGCTGGCAGTATGTGGCCAGAGAGATTTCTCTTTCCCTTGAGCCAAAAAGGAAATGGGGCGGAGGACCAGAGGCAGACTTGGCTCTCTCATCTTGGTGGGATTTTTTGTTTCCAGAGCAGTTGAAAGAGAGAGGAAAGAGGGCAAGAAAGAGGGTTACCCAGTAACCAAGGATGGCTTCTACAGCTGGACAGGCAATTGACTTCCACCCAAACTTGGACAAAAGGGCTTGGAGGAAGCCTGAAGGTTTGGTTCTGTGCCCCTCGGGCCTCTTTTCCCAATGGTTGCCATTCAGCGCCAAGAGGAGCCAGCCAAATGGGCCAGCGATGGCTGCTGACTTCTTCAGAAAGTTGCAGCGAGAATCCATAGAAGGAAAACATGGCCCTTTCTTATGGTATTCTGAATCTTACTCAGGAATAGGGATGCAAACCCTTGACTATTTTATCCTTGCCTGTGTGGATGAATAATTACTCTCACCACCGGTAGAATTCAAAGACATAACCGTGCTAGTCTGTAAAATCCATATTTAGACAGGTTTTATAGCATCTTTGAGACTAACTGAAAGAAAGAAGTTGGCAGCATGGGCTTTCCTAGGCCTAAGTCTACTTCCTCAGATGCATTAATAAACCTTTGTCTGCAAAAGGTCATGCTGCCAACTTCTTTCTTTCAGTTAGTCTATGTTACTGAATGGAATCCAAAATGTACTTTTTGGATGGTGCTTATTGCTACAAGATCTCTCACTGCTGGGTGAGAAAACACATATTTCTGTGCATTTGCACCCTATTCAAGTGTCTCAAAGAACTCTGGAAGATTGATTATGTGGGTTTTTTGCATGTTTCCTGCACAGAAAATGTGCTTCCTTTGCAGCAATTGGAGGTGGTATTATTACTACTACTACTACTACTACTACTACTACTACTACTATTTTGCATTAAATAAAAAACACCCCACCATGGATTTTTCTGCACCAACCCCCCCCCCCCCCCCCCAGGATATTGTGGTACATTTGAGTGAAGGTCTCCCTGCTCTGTTATTTACTGGGAAATGAATAATAGAGAATATTCTTTCCATTGTATGGCCAGGAAGAACACAGATTTCTCCAAGGGCTGTAACAATTGCTATATCTTGGCCAGAAATAAAGAAATATAGGGCTTTGTACTAGATTCTGTGTTCTGATTCTGCAAGTGCCAGCCTCTGTTTTGCCTGAAAGGGGTTATACCCTTTGGATTGGCACCCAATGCATCTCATGCTGCAGATTCTCTTCCCTTTCCTTTGCAAGACACCGGTGGATTTCCAGCATCCTTCCTCCTCCGCTTCTCATGATACTTGAGACAAAAGGAAATCATGATGCCCACCTTATAATCTGTGGAGACACAGGATCACTAGTTGGGATGGTGCCCTCTGAGAAAGGGGTTGATTGAGCCCAAGAGAGACAAAAAGAAGAAGCGTTAGTCACCTTTGAGTCAAAGCGACTTGGGCGGCCCGTGAGAGTGTCGATGCCGCTTCTCAAGGGTATTAATGGCAGGTGATTTACCTGTGGTTTGCATTTCATAACAAGAGCGGGTGAGCCTCTGGAAGGAAGGGAATGTCCCACATTTTTTTCTTGAATATCCTACATTTTGCAGTGCCTTTGCCGTTATGCCATCTGGTCGCCCTGCACAGACCTTATGGCCTATGCAGACAAGGCCATAGACAATATTCTGCCCATGCCTTGACCTCCATCTCTCTACCTTTCACCTTTTACCTGCCGAATCATGGGATGGTGGGAAGTGAGTCACAACTTGCCTGTCTCAAGGATCTGGCAAGCGGCTGCTGAGTCAGTTGGCGCTGAGAGTTGGAGAAGGAAGAGGAGAGTGGCACTTGGGCATGGCGGGGTGAGGGAAAAGCCAGGTGAGCCCAAGACAGGTAAGCTCCCCTGAGAAGCTCCGTCAGTGACAGAGGGTGGCTCTCGGCCAGGTGTTTTGCAAGCCAGACTGCCTCTGAACATGAACAAATAATGGGAACGATGAGTAATAGCTGCTGGTTGCCGTGTAATCTGGTTTTACAGCTACCCAGCTTTAGGAGCTGTCCTCAACTTCTATTGCAGTGGCAGGGAGTTCCATAAGTCCCATCAGGTGCTGGGTAGGTGGCAAACTTTCTTTGCCTTAAACCTCCTAATGATCACATTCACAGTACGACCACATGCCCTCCTTTTCCAGGACACGTCCTGCATTTGTGTCCAAGAGGAATTCCAGAATTTCTTCTATTCTGAGCATGACTAAGAAGCATGCATTTACATTTATATGAGTGTTTTTAGCTTTTTTTTTTTTTTTTGGTCATGTTTGAAAATCCTACATCTTGTGGTGTGTTGTTCTTCTTTCCGGTTATGACAACCTGATCACCTGCGTATTCAGCAGGTCACCTGGATTTCAAATATCGCAATCATCTGCGCTGCAGAAATAATGCAGTTTGACACTTCTTTCAGTGCAGTAGCTCCATCCTATCCTCCATCCTGGAATTGGTAGTTTTACAAGCTATTCAGCCTGGTCTGCCAAAGAATTCTGGTGTCTGACAATACTACAAATCCCAGGGTTGTGTAGGATGGCTCCATGGCAATTAAAGTGCTATTGAACTACATTATTTCTACAGTGCAAATGCACCCTATATCTCCCAGAATCTCCCAGGAGGATTCCAAGAGCAAACTTTGGAGATTACCCCCTTTTATTTTTGGACTCTGAGTCTCAAAACCCCCCTAGACAGTATTTCCTCCACTTCAGCTCTGAGGAAATGTCTTTTTCTTTATGTCACCTTTAATTTCATAAATATCCATCACAGGTTCCACTCTAGAGATACATTTTTTTCCCCCAGACTAAAAAAACCACAACAAAACCCATTGCCTTTCTTTCTTTGTAAGAAAAAGATTTCAACGTTCTGGCCATTTTAGTAGAGTTTAAAAACCACAACAGTACATAATTTGGGGATCTGTTTGTCCCATTATCCTTTGACACTGGACGGAAAGAAGGCCTCGGAGAGATGGCCACTCCGCTTTCCCGCTTTGGTTGGCATGGCTTCTGTCTGGAGCGGATGCTGCCGGAGATATAATATTTCCAAGAGCTTTGTGTCTGAGTGGATCTCTGTGCATCACGCCCCTAATCCCTTTCTCCCGAGTGTCCCGTCGCATTTAGACAAAAGAAAATTAACCGGCAGCGACAGAGACTTGCTTGGATCAAGGGCTTTTCTGGGTCAGAGGAATGGAGGCGGATGAGAAACACTCTCTCTGTGTGTTTGTGTGTGAGTGTGTGTCTGTGCCAGGATGGGAAAGGATGGGAAGAGTCTTATTCGGAGTCTAAAAGGTGGATGGATTCTCCAAGAACGCTCCGGGAGGGAGACCGAGATCCAAATTAAAGGCTTAAGGCCTGTTTGTTTAACCGGGATGAGATTTATTCACAAGGGAGACGATGCGTTGTGTGCCTTCAAGTCGTTGCTGACTTATGGTGACCCTAAGGCGAATCTATCATGAGCTTTACTTGGCAAGTTTCTTCGGAGAGGGTTTGCCATTGCCTTCCTCTGGGGCTGAGAGAATGTGACTTGCCCAAGGTCACCCAGTGGGTTTACATGGCCGAGCGGGGATTCGAACCCTGGTCTTCAGAGTTGTAGTTCAGTTCTCAAACCACTACACCACACTGGCTCTCCGCTGAATCAGGTACCTTCCAACATCGGATGAAAACTGGGACTCGTGTGGCCAAGCAAGACTGGACCATGGTCAAGATGGCCAAAGTTATAAATGAGGAAGAGCGGCCCCTTTTCCTTTTTTTTTTTTTTTTTTTT